CTACACACAACTTTCTCTTCTYCAGGCTGAYCACCCCCAGCTTTTTCTGCATGTCATCATCTCTAGTTTCRGAGACCTGCACATTGTGAGACCTCCAAAGAAATCAAAGTGCCTCTAGAGATACGGACACAGAACACCCAACAGGTTCTTTCACAGCTGCAGGGAGTGCTGGGGATGGTCTGACTGAGCTTGTTGCTCAGAATCTGCATCACCATCCCAACACTTAACCCTGTGCTGACCATATGGCACCAGCATCTTTATTTTAGTCCAGGAAGCCCCTATGCAATACAGCAAGGCGTATTTTCCTGGAAGTCAGTTCAGTTCTGCTTCTCGATTTTGTGCAGAACAGTTTAAAACAAGGAGGGAAGGACTTCTTCCTTTCAAGCCATGCTCAAGAGGATCACACCAAAGYGCCCAGCCCAGGCATCAGCCCCATCCTGTGACCACTCTGGATCACATGGCTGTTCTCTCACCACTCAGAAATGAGCTCGAAATCATAGAGCAGTTTGGGTTGGAAGGGACCTCAAAAAAMCACCCTATTTCCAGCCCACAACGAACCCACTGCTTTCCCCTTCCCACCTGACACTCCTCGTGCTGGGTCAAAATGTGATCCAGACCACCCCTGGTCAGCCCCAGGGGACCCGGCAGCTTCACCACAGGAGCAGAGACAAGGAGTCTGGAGTGAAGCCTGCTCTTGAGTCCGCTCAGGAGTGGATGAATTACCCCATTTTCACCCACTGGATGAAAGAAGAAAATAAAATCAATCCAGCTCTTGGTTAAGCAGCTTTTTCCACTATGGATGCTACTGAGAGGCAGACCAACCCTGCAGCCCACTGTCGTCCCTTCTCTGGAGAGGGGAGGAGAGCTCCCACTGCTCTGCCATGTCCCTGCCAGGATTGTGCAGAGCATGAACACCCGGCAGAGCTGCTTGGCTCCTGTCTCTTGTAAAGCAGGTGGCTACAGGTGGGATTAAGGATTTGCCTAAGAAGGGATGCAAGAAAGTGGAGAAACAGCCCACAGACACCCATCCTCCACAGACACCCATCCTCCACAGACACCAAGAGACCTGTACTGTCTCTTTGGAAAATACCTCCACCCTTCAAAGTAAGGTGTTTCTAGCACCAATAATCTTCAACACAATCTTTGCTATTCATTACACTGTTCATTAAAATGATTAAAAATTTCCCTCCTCACTTTTTTTTTTTGTTATTGTTTTAATATCCTGATTGCTCTCTGACTGAAGCTTCAAAGTAAGCATTCCCAAACCACTGATCACTGGCATGAGTGATTTCAAATCATTCTTATATGCAGAAGTTTTTCTTGTGGGTAAGTTTACAACTTCAAATTACTAAAAAAATATTTAAAGTGAACCACAGCAATATTGTGATTACTTGAACAACCTGGTCTAATGGAAGSTGTTCRTRCCCATGGGGTTGAAACTGGACAATCCTTAAGGTTCCTTCCAAGCCAAACTATTCTRTGATTTTATGCTGATTCTATGCTACTGATGACCCAAAACACATTTGATTCATGCTTCTTGGAAACTCACAGAACACAAATCCAAACATATTTGCAAAAACCACCTGATGTAGTGTGCTGGAGAGGGTGKAGAAGGGAAATGAGGAAAGCCAAGTTTTGCAGCACCGAGATCTTATCCACAAGGACTCWGCAAGAAGGCAAAGCCCCTCTCTATTCTCCAGTCAATGAATAATTTCTGCAACCATCTGGACTCTTCCCTGTCAGGATGGGGAGGTCCTGACACAGGTATCCCCTAGAAGCTGTGGCAGCCTCATCCCTGGCAGCATCCAAGGCYAGGYTGGAGCARCCTGGGGTAGTGGAAGGTGTCCCTGTCTTCCAGAGGATATGATTTATGATTCTCAAGGGGTCCTTCCATTCTGGGATCCTGTATCCTGTTCCATGCAGTCAAATCCCAGCACAGAAACTATCTGACACCTCTTGGTAGCAGGGATGCAAACCCAGCGGGGTGTCCCAGAGCCAATCACCGGCTGCACCCAGCTCCAGCACACCCCAGCCGTGTGTGGGGGCAGAGGGAACGCAGCCAGCTGGGGAAATATGGCTGGCAGAGACAGCACATCCTGCCAGGGATCACTGCTGCTCCTGCACTCCCTGTCAGCTYATCAAATGCTGCTCTCCCAAATCACCAGCTCCTGCTAAAGCCCCTCGGGGCAGTGACTTATCCTTATGCTCCTCCCTGCTGCTGGGCAAGTGAAGCAAGGCTGGGGAAACGCCCACCTCTGCTTAAAAGTGAATGGGAAATTTGGGCAAACTGCACTTTCACTGCAGGAACACCTATGGTAGCCCTCTGGTGATCAATCCTAGTGTCTTGAGTTGGAGGGGACTCACAGGAATCATCGAAGTCCAACCCCCAGTCCCTGGGACCACCAGTGATGCCAAACCCCCTCTGAAAGCAGAGACCTGTTTAGTGAAAAGGAAGCTGAAGGTGAGCAGGGACAAGGTGCTGGATGCTTTGAGGTTAAAWGCAGCCTGAGAAGGTGTTTACTGCACAATATACAGTAATATTGMAGCATGAAGATTCCACCTAGCTTTAAGATTCTCAGTTTCTTCCCTTGGACCAGCAAGGGAATCCCAACAATTCACCTCTCTCYTTCAAAACGAGCATCATCACATCCCCCCCCAGCCCAGTGCCCTCAAAACACAATTCCACGAACATCAAGGTCTCCTCAGAGCCTTCCTCTCCCTMTTGTAGGTTCCATGAGATAAACCTGCACCCCCGGTCCTCACCAAGAAGAGCAGCCAACACGCACTTACCTAAACAACCACACACTCACACCTAATTGGTAGGTGCTAAAGAGCAGAACTGGARGTGGGCAGAACACCCACAGCTTCAAGCACCACCCCCTGGTAACTGTGTGATTAAATAACCTTTAATCCATGGTTCCTGGAGGGATTTATGCATAGATCCCCCACCAGTAGAATGACCTACASCTACAATGCTGAGCATAGTGCTTAGGAGAAAAGCTGTTTTTTCACCTCATTGAGGAAGCCTCAATTTGTCATTCTGGAAAATCTGACGTTTTTTCACTCTGGATGGTCATGATYAGAAATCCAAGAGAGGATTTTCTGCCTTTTTAGGATATTGTTAAGTAATAACTTCTGTCAAAGAACCACATCTGCACCATCTGCTGACTACGCAGGTGGTGAATTATTTTCCATAGCCAYTTCCAAGCTGGGAAAGATCTGCAGCTGGACATGATTTGCTCCTTGGAGAAGGGCTCTAATGTTCTTTGCAAATYTTTGTTTCACAATTATCTGGAGCCTCATACTTACAGCGCCCTAACTGGCAGAAATGTTCTGAAGGTGTATAAAAGAATCAGCTCCTCCATCTCCACCCTCCTAAAACCAGAATTCCAGGTTCTGCAATTCTGCTGGATTGTGATTACCACATGCAATGGTGGCAGCAGCATCTAAATGCCACGGGTATTGGTTTGCATTSGTCTTACTGGGATAAAAAGCAACCCACAGGGCTGCTCTGGGTCACCCCAAATTCAGAGGCCACAGACATGCAGAAAGACAGCTACTGACAGCCCATGTATGCAAATGAACCGTCACGATTAGAGTTCCCCTACAGCAGAAGAAGCACCAGAGAAATTTCCAGGAGGACATAAAGCTGTTGTTTCATCTTTAAAAAGCGAAGCAACGATGCTAACCTGARGCACACCTGACCTGAGACTCAGAGGCCTTGCACATACGAACAGTGGGATGCTGCAATGTTTCTCTATGGCTGCTTCAAAAATAAATCCCCACAAACCAAGGAGACACGGTAAGGCAGTGTTATTTGGTGTGCAGCAGTGACACGGCCTGCTCCTCCATTTGTGCCAGTGGCTCACGAGTTACACATATAGCAATAGATTGTGCCGAGCCTCCACAAAAGAGGCACAGGACGAGGGGGATGAGCTCCTCACCACAGCCAGCAACAAGCCATGTTTTTACAGAACAGGGCACCACACCCTGCGAGGCCCCGGGGATTAATTCAAGCAATATTTCTTCTTTTGCTTTATTTTTTTTTTTTCCATGTAGTTTCTCTCTTTGGTAAAACTCTAGCTCTTCTCGTTAGGAAGAGCCCTCAGTTAGACCCCACGCTGCCACGCAGAGCTCCAGAACGGGCTGAGCACCTCCCGGCTCTCGCAACCGGGCTGCGGCCGGCACGGTGGGGACATCCAAGGCAAAACACTGCCCGGAAAACTCCCAGGTGCTCCGGAGCAGCTGKGAACCCCCAAACCGACACACGGCGTTAAACAGCAACACCGAGTTCTGGGGCTGTCGCTGGTGCTGGTGGGGGTTTTCCAAACTTCCCCGCGCAAGGGAAATGCYTGAGACYAGTTATCAGAATAATCACCAGCCCYCCTGWGYAGCCACGAGCCCCAGGCACTGCTGTCACTGTCACGAGGCAACCTTGCCACGAGCCTCCAATGCTGACAGCCCCAAATCAACAGGAGTTAGGCTAAAAAGTATACAAACCACCCTCGKTTTTTTACTTGCTTGTAAATAATTACTGAGGAAGTGATTTGGAAAGCCGTAACAGTGCCAAGGACATAGCTGGAACAAAGTTCTCAGCTGTTTTCATCCCCAAAAGAYTTATTTCTGCCCCAAAAGTGGAGCAGAGCTCTTGTACAATGCCATGCGGTTCCATTTGCTTCCGATCACAGAAGGGGGCTGTAGACCACTTTAATTAAAAACACTACGGAAACACCGGGTATATTAAAACCACGCCACYAAGAAAAAAAACCGAAAGAAACAACAGGCTCTGACCCTRTTTTTTTCCTTAGAAACTTAAAACTCCTAAACCGCTTTGTTCTTTACCTTACGGGTTGCTACAGAAATGTACGAGTCGCCTGCACACAGCTAAACTCAACGCCCTCACTGCGGGATATCTTGGACCGCGGGCAGAGCGCCCAGCACCGACCCCTCTTCCCGAGCCCCCCGCCGCCCCCGCCCGGGAYACCCCATCCCCGCGGTACCCAGAAGGCGAGGCTGAGCAGCAGCAGCACGGTCTTGGAAGTGATGACTCCGCAGTCCATGTCGGAATCACTCTGGGGCTGCGCCGCCGCACCGGCCGTGGGTTCCCCGTGGAGCCGCCCCCGGCCCGCCCCGCCGTCCTGCCCTGCCCTGCCCTGCCCACCCACGGGACGCCTTTCCCCGTGGCCAACCAGGCTGGTTTCCATGCAGGGGGTGGAGAGTGTCGGGAA